CTCACCCCTATTCACTCTTATTTCCTACATCCTTATTTATCGATCCCTTTCTCCCTTCGCTTTCCACCCTAAATTAACGAAGCGGTTCTCATAATCACTCACACTTTTTTGGTCCGTCCTTATCCTCATCCTTCCCTCTCACTCTAGATTAAAAACTCACCCTTATTTTCCTTATTATTCGCTGTTTTTTCTCCAAGTGTCACTCTCATTCACTCTCTTTTTTTTCAGTGTTCACTTAATTCACCCTAATTCACCCTTCTCCCATTCTTCACCCACATTTACCCTTACCCTCACTCTTATTTACCCTTTTTGCCCTAACCCTCACCCTTATTCACCCTTTTCCCTCCACGCTCACCCTAATTCACCCTTTCTCCCTGAACCTTCACCCTCATTTATCCTATTTTCCCCAGCCTTCACTCTAATTCACCCTTTTTCCTCACGTTCACCCTTTTCTCCCCCCCACCCTCCCCTCCCCCCATCCTCCTCACCCTCATCCCATCCACCTCACCCCCTCCCACCCTCCCCCTCATCCCCCCATCCACCACCTCACCCCCTTTCCCACCCTCCCCTCATCCCCCCATCCCTCCTCCCCATCCCCCCTTCTCCCCCACTTTCCCCCCACCCCTCATCTCCTCATCCCCCCATCCCTCCCCCTTTCCCCCTTCATCCCCCCCCTCATCCCCCTATCCCTCCCCCCTCCCCCCCCCCCCCCTCCACCCTTCCCCCCCCCATCCCCCTCCCCCTCCAATCCCCCCATCCCTCCCCCCCCCATCCCCCTCTCCTCATCCCCCCATCCCTCCCCCTCATCCCCCCATCCACCACTCACCCTCATCCCCTCCTCACCCTCATCCCCCATCCCTCCCCCTCCCCCTCATCCCCCCCATCCACCACCTCACCCTCATCCCCACCCTCACCCTCCCCCCCATCCCTCCCCTTTCCCCCATCTACCCCCTCCCCCATCCCCCCACCACCTCACCCTCATCCCCTCCTCACCCTCACTCCCCTCCTCACCCCCACCCTCCGCCAACCTCATCGTTTGAGCAAGAGGGGAAAATTTCACCCTCGTCGGCCCTCATCACATGGATCCCGCCCTCCGCTGTTTGATATTAAGTGAGTCCTTTTTTTCCCCAACTTTTTTTCCCCAACTTTTTTTCCCCAACTTTTTTCTTCCAACTTTTTTCCCCAACTTTTTTTTTCCTTCCTCTTTTTTTTTTTTTTTTTTTCTTTCTCTTTTTTGTGTGTGGATTGCTTGAGATGATCCCTTGACTTTGGTGAGGGTGACGGGTGGTTATATATATATATATATTTTTTTTTTTTGGGGGGGGGGGGAGGAGGCTGACTTTTTTGGGGGGTGGATTTTTTTTTTTTTTTTTTTTTTTTTTTTTTTTTTTTTTTTTTTTACTTGTCTTTCGGTGTTTCGCTTCTTCCTTGCTTTTGATCTGTCTTCCTGGCTTAATTAGATGAGATAAATGCTTGGATGTAATTAGGATGCGGTGGATAGAGGGGGAGGGGGGGAAGAGAGAGAGAGAGAGAGAGAGAGTGGGGAGGGAGGGAGGGAGGGGAGGGAGAGAGAGAGAGACAGAGGGAGAGAGAGAGAGAGAGAGAGAGAGAGGAGAGAAGAGAGAGAGAGAGAGAGAGAGAGAGAAGAGAGAGAGAGAGAGAGAGAGAGAGAGAGAGAGAGAGAGAGAGAGAGAGAGAGAGAGAGAGAGAGAGAGAGAAATCAGCAAATAAATGATAGACAGGCAAGTGAATAACCCGGATGAATACAGATATGGAAAATAATTGAATAAAAATGTGTAAGCGATTAAATAAATAACACATAATCAAACAAACAAAACGAGTAAGTAATTAGAACATTTCCACCATACAAAATAAATAAATAAATAAACATCACAAAACTAACCAAACTAACAAATACACGCGACAAATAATAATAAAAAATAGATAATAAATAATAATAATATAATGCATTAAGAATCAATTACAAAAAAAAAAAAAACACTAAGAATTAATTAGGAAAAAAGAAAAGAAAAAGAAGGAAAAAAAACGCAAGTGTGAATTTCAAAACAATTAACGTTTCCCGAATATTAATAAAAAACAATAGATAATAAATAACAATAAAATACATTAAGAATCAATTAGAAAAAATAAAAGAAAAGAAAAAAAAACTCAAGTACGAATTTCCAAACAATTAACATTTCCCGAATAATAATCTTAAAAAAAACAATAGATAATAAATAAAATAAATATATTAATAGATGAAATAAAAATATTAAGAGTCAACCAAAGAAAGAAAAGAAAAAAAAAACTCAAGCACGAATTTTTAAAAAATGACATTTTCCCGAATAATTATAAAAAAAACAAGAGATAATAAATAATAATCAAATAATAATAATAGATAATAATATATATTAAGAATCATTAGAAAATCAAAAATCAAAATAAAATAATCAAATAATGATAAATAATAATAAAATATATTAAGAATCATTAGAAAAAAAAACACTCAAGCACGAATTCCCAAACAATTAATATTTTCCCGAATAATGATAAAAATAGATAATAAATGATAATAAAATAACAATAAATAAAAAAAACAAGAATCAACTAGAAATAAAAAGAAAAGAGAGAGGAGAGAGAGAGAGAGAGAGAGAGAGAGAGAGAGAGAGAGAGAGAGAGAGAGAGAGAGAGAGAGAGAGAGAGAGAGAGAGAGAGGAGAGAGAGAGAGAGAGAGAGAGAGAAGAGAGAGAGAGAGAGAGAGAGAGAGAGAGAGAGAGAGAGACGCTCAAGTACGAATTTCCAAACGATTAACATTTTCCCGCGCAAATGCCCGCCGCCTCCCCTTCGTCACCGCGGAAGGTCGTCAGATAATGGCCGCTTTCCCCCATTGAACCGCCCTTCTGTAATAAGTCCAAACCCACAACTAGTTATTGCCTTGGATTATGTGCACGAGTGGCTGTCTCCCCGTGTACACATAGACGCACATCCCTTTGCATATGTACACGCCCTAATTGTTCCGAGTGTGTGTACATATGGACGTGTGTACATACTTTGGCGTGTACACAGGTCTTTTGATATTGCTTAGGGGGGATCAAAATTGGAGTGGGTGGTCGTTGTGTTTCGTTCGTTTTTCTTATTATTTCGGGAGGAGTTTGAGTAGGTGTTGTTCGAAACACGAGCCCGAATTAGTGGGGGATTTGTCAGTTATTGTCATGAGTTGAAGTTTCGGGGAATTTAATCCCTTTTATTTTGCTATTCATGCATTTTATTATTATTATGATTGTCTTGTGAGGGTGCATTTTGTTTTGAAAAAAAGATAATTGGTTGTTTTTCTTTGTGATTTTTCGATTTTTTTAGAGAGAGAAAAGGAAAAACTGGAAACTCAGCACCAGTTTCCCTTCGATTCGCCATTATTTGAGAAGAAAAAAATATAAAGTTATGTAAAATGATAAAAAATATTGTATATCTGTAAACATATATTTTTTATTAGGATTGGGTTGATCAGAATAAAAAAGGGAGCGAATTAGAGTCTGAAATGAGCTGCTAAGACCGTCCTTTCCTAAAAATAAACGCAATATCGAATTTTCAGCAAATATTACTTCCTTCTGATCCTTTTCGAAAATTCTTTAGATCGCTTACACTATCAAACTGGGTATCACAATTTTCCTAAAATAAAAGCAACAAGTGTAGAGCTAAAGATCCGCCTTCAGTGATACCACAATGCAACCCTTAGGTTAGGTTAGAATTGTGCGAGGCCCGACCCAAAGAATATTCGTATACTTATGCCTAAATAAAGAAATGTATGCATATTTATCAGTCTATACATGCATATCAACCGGGCAAATAAGTTAAATGTATATCTATCAGATATATAGACAGATATACCTTTATTTATGTATCTGTATTTATGAAAATTCATTGGGTCGAGCCTGGCACAATTCTAAACAAACCCGGCCATTTGTCTGTGTGATTAAAGCCTAGTTAGTATTTTCGCTGCTTTTAAATGGTAACGTGCGAGTGAGACGAAAGCACGATGGAGTTTTTTCACGTGGACCGCGTGCTGGAAACGGTCGGGTGGGAACTGCGGCTCAAGCGTATCCAAAAAACATCGAAATTAATTTTTAACTCATTTCCTTAGTAAAAAAAAATACTGTGGAGTTATAGGTATACATACATATATATGAATATGTACATATATATATAAATATATATATATATATATATATAATATATATACATAATATATATATATATATATATATATATATATACATTTATATCACACACACACACACACACACACACACACACACACACACACACACACACACACACATATATATATATATATATATATATATATATATATATATATATATATATATATATATATATATATATATATATATATATATATATATATATTATATATACATGTGTGTGTGTGTGTATAAGTCTTAGGAACTGTTCCTGACCCGGAGTTATACATCTTTATCATCTTACCGATATCAAGGGATCATTGATGACGTCATTAGCTAATCGCATTCTCCCGCATGCATGGCTGACAGAGCTTTGCGTGTGTGTGTGGTGTGTCATATGTGTGTGTGTGTGTGTGTGTGTGTGTGTGTCTTTGTGTGTGTGTGTGTGTGTGTGTGTGTGTACGACTTTGTCTGTGTGTTGAGATTTTTTTTATAAAAAGAATAATGCAATACTTTATTTCTTACTACGCACACACATACTCACACACACATATATATTTATATATTTATATACATATGTACATGTATATATGTGTATATGTGTATATATGTATATATATATATACATATATATACACATATATTTACACACACACATATATATGTACATATACATAAATATGTATATATATATACACACACATATACGAATGTGTATATGCATACATAAATGAATAAATAAATATACATTTTTTTAACAACAAATCTCAACTTGTTCTAACGTGTTCGCTCCGCCCACAGGAAATTCGTGTTCGCACCCGTGTGTCGTGGCATCATTGCGAAGAGAATGTTCACTGAGAAGAGGTCGTCTATCAGGTGAGGCAGATTTTTTGTTCTTTTGTTCATTTGGTGTTGTTCTGTGGTTGTTCATTTGGTTGATTTTCCTTTTTTTATCTTTGAGAGTTTGTCGTTTTTTTCATATAATGATTTGTGTTCGTTCTTGCTCTTTTGTTCATTTGGTGTTGTTCTGTGGTTGTTCATTTGGTTGATTTTCCTTTTTTTTATCTTTGTGAGTCGGTTTTTTCATATAATGATTTGTGTTCGTTTTATTAATTTGTCTGCTTGCTTTGAGCCAAAAAAAGAAAAAGAAAAAGAAAATCCAGTTTGTCATTTGTTTTTTCTTTTTCTAAAAACTTATGTCTATTAGAGTTTGATTCTTTTTCATTATTATTCTTAGATGTTTTTAAATTCTTATTCTCTTTTGTTCTTCCTTTTTTATTCTTTGGGTATACTTCTCTTTTTCATGTTAATACTATTTTTTTCTCTTTCTCCATTTCCTTCCATACTCTCGTAGTTTTATATAATTTCCTCACTAAACGTAATATTTATATATATAAACGTGTATATGCCTCGTCCATGGGTCATTCTGTTTACTCCTTTCCCCATTTACCATTATCTATTTGTCTCCCTTCTTTATCACATCTTAGATTCGAAATATCTTTTCTTACATTTTTTAAATTTCCTTCGCCAGGGCCCTACCAAACGCCTGGGATGCTCAGTTCAGGGCCCCCCGAGAGACTGAGGACGAAGGCCTGCTATTGGCTCAGCCCTTCGATGACGTCACTAACCTGGAGCCACGCCCCCAGGAGGATGTGGTAGGTCAATTTTCCTTTCTCCTTGTGTGTTGTCTATAATAAGATTAGATATGTCATCTGTTGGTATTTTGTTGGTGTTCGAGTGTCTAGTTGACCTTGCTTGACCCCGTTTCTCCCTCGCAGGTCGTTGTGCGCGCCGGAAATGACGTAGTACAGGTTCCCGCTTACGTGTACGATGTCGTCGAAAGGAGTCTTCGAGGAGAGCAGAAATAAATCCGCGAAAAATGAAAGACCAAAGAAAGAGAGAGAGAGAGAGAGAGAGAAAGCTGCAAAACAAGCCACATGAAATCGATGTCTGCAACACAACGAAAGAGGGAAGAGCAAGAGAAGGGAAAAATCTTTTAAAGAAATAAAATCATTGTTGAGACCTTGTGGTTTCTGTCCAAACTGGTTGTTTCTCTCGATTCTGTTTGGGTGTGGACACGCGTGCGCATGCGTGGATGAGTTCGTGCGAACCTACCGGCGCAAAAAGACAAGGGTCCTTCTGAGGCGCACCACAGCTGCTTTTTTTCTGAAACTTCTGCAGTCGGCACAAGCGCAATTCAACAGGTACCGTCTTGTGTGCGTGCGGATTAGCATAGATTCTCGTCTGATTTCCCACGTTATTCCCACACCTTGAAAAAAAAACCACACAACTCCATAAACCAACCGGTAACAATCTACATACATATAATCCATGAAGGTGCACACACACACGATCACGCACGCACCACACACACCACAGCAAACATTCCTTTCAACACATAAACTACACACATCGCCATCCTAACATACTACGTGTCACAGTACCGCAGTTCACACCCACAGTAGCCTAACTCCTAAGCCCAACCACTTCACCATGCTCTATCGTCTACTAGGCCGGATCCATCGCATACCTTCTCACATCAACACACAAACAAGCTGACGAACAAACAACGGCCATCGCTATTCACCACCCCGCACAATCAGTAAGTCCTCCTAGGCGTGTCTTCACAACATTTGCTCATCAGCAACGATTCCTAAGATCATCACGCTACTACAGGTTACGTCTACTTGTGGCATCGTATACTCTAAACAATGGCATCTATACCTCTAAAATCACATGCCTATATGGAAATAGTCTCATAGCTGTCATTTACGCCAACGACGGCATTTACCAATAGATTTGCTAGAACATCGATAATATGAAAAAGATAATTATGATATTTGTTTTATCAGGTAACCAGGAAAGTTATCGGAACGTGAGTACCACCACTCCAAATGCTCAAGTAAAAATACTTCTTTCAAGAAGTCTGGGGAACCCGTGACGTATGTACTAGTACTTTGAATTTAATTATCCCTGGTTTTGCAAGAACAAAATGGAACAAGAAGCTAAAGATTACAAACTAGATTAGAATAAAAAAAGTTATTGTCAACACTAATTAGAACACACCTACTTTGAACCGACACATACTTAAAGATAGCTACGTGGTTGTCAGCGCATCCTGCAAATGCAACAAATAAGATCACTTAAAACGCGCCTGTTAGTATCTGAGAGCATTTGCATATTAAGCGCGAGATGATCGTTCATAACTCTAAAACCAGGATAGTTTACATAATGAACTTTGAACAATAAATGCCCAAAAAATGAAATGAATGTGAGTTGGCAAAAAGATGTATCAAATGAGGAGATCACGATACGGTGAGAGTTTAAATTACAGTTTGAAGTGCAGATAACTGTGTTCACCAGGCGCGGCACAGACTTCACGGCGAGAGTAGACTTGACGGCCGTAGAATGACTAGTCCTGGGACGGATCGTGCGAAGTCATCCTCATTTCAGAACCACAGCTGTTTAGGCTGAGAGCCACCGAAAGTGCTAATCGGTCAACGACTCGGAAAGGCACGGGCCAGGATGTGGGCTCATACTAACGGGGGCTCGCCACCCACTTATACGAAGCAGATATCGGCCCGCCGATACTCGGACCGGCGACACCGACGATATGAGCCCATCACGTGATACGACTCCAGCAGATACCTTATTAATAAAAAAACAAGCATTCAGTAGAAGGATGATCAGGGACAGACGTGTGCTCATAAACCTGGTTCATCTTCCCGTGGTGTAGACGCCAGACGCAGCCGATGTAACCGTAAAGTGAGGGCAGCCTCACGTTATCACACCAAGGGGAGAGCAGGGTACTCACTCATTCGATTAGAACGGATCTCCACGGGGAAGTTTTTCCACTTAATTTTTTCATATATATCCGACACCCTACTTTTGCGTTATTATTCTTAGTATTTTCACTTATTTTTGTTCATTGATTTTATTTGGTTGTTTGTCTACTTTCGATGCATGTATTTGGCGCGAAAACTAAGGGAGTGGTTCAGTCATTTAGGTGAGCGTCATGGCTTTCTGATATTTCATCTAAAGCGATCACACTTTATTTCAACATTTTTTAGAGAAAATGCCGTGATTGCATTTTACACGAAGCTGGCAGGGTATGTATAACGCCAAGTAGTCACGCAGAGAACTAATTTTACAATCCTCTTAATTGCGAGTATTCTTTCACAGGAGCTGGCTAATGCCCCAAAGGGCCCTCTCTGATTTTTTGACTTTATCCTGGGGAGAATTTCGTATCTGTCTTGCCTGACAGGCGAGAACATGATGGTATTAATCCTATACATACGCCGGTTTTCCATGATTATGAGGTTGCGGTTAACTGTAGTTGATATGGTTTGTCTAATTGCATCTCCACTATATCTGAAGTCCGAACTGGTGACAACTGATATTTAAGTTTTAGGGCGCTGTGGTCTGGACAGGCAAGGTCGGGGGTGAGTGAGAAGTGGAACACGACAAACGATGATGACGACTTACACCGCACAACTATGGAATTGCACGGTTTATCAAACGAGATGAAATCCGGAATATATTTTTTTTTTATTTTTTGTTTTTTTTTTTTATTATTTTTTTTTTTTTTTTTTTATATTTTTTTTTTTTTTTTTTTTTTTTTCTTTTTTTTTTTTTTTTTTTTTTTTTATTTTTTTTTTTTTTTTTTTTTTTTTCTTTATATTTTTTTTTTTTTTTTTTTTTTTTTTATTTTTTTTTCTTTTTTTTTTTTTTTTTTTTTTTTTATTTTTTTTTTTTTTTTTTTTTTTTTTTTTTTTTTATTTTTTTGTATTTTTTTTTTTTTTCTTTTTTTTTTTTTTTTTTTTTTTTTTTTTTTTTTTTGTTTTTTTTTTTTTTTTTTTTTTTTTTATTTATCAGTACATCAGCCAGATCATTTTCATAGTAATTTCAATGAGAAGATTGGCTGTTCCATATACGTCAATATCTTACCCCAATTACGTAGGGGCCAGAAAATCTTACTTCTCCGTCTCTTAATCTACCAAGAAAGCCCCAACCATCAGAACTGAATGTAAAACATAATACAAATTTTTTACGGTCGCTGAATGTCTTGATGGAATTCGACCGATGGGGCCACAATAGCTGATGATATCAATATGTATATGTTTATTTTAATTTCGTCGATTCATTTCTCGTCAGCGACGAAAGTCATACTGTTTCTAGATCTACATATTAATAATTGTATTTTTTATAATTTAGTTAATTCGAAATTATCGTGTATTCTGAGAGGCGACCGGGAGACGTACTTCTTGTTTCTACCTCAAACGTGGCGGAGCTAGATTCAGTAACACATGCCGAACTCGATGGCAGGTCAGGTGTGTGGTGTCATCTTACTATTTATTTTCATTGGTGTATCTTTTCGAGTTTTTTTCAATTTCCCACATACGATTCCATTTTTAATATATATTTATTCCTATGATTTACTTGATGTGATATTTATCTAAAGAATATATAAAATATAAACATTACGGGCTGTATGATTCGGTTTTGTCTTAGATAAATTGTATATGCAAAAAGATACATATCTAATTCTAGCCTTAATATACAAAAAAAAAAAAAAACAAAAAACAAGGGGACAAATGACATTTCATGTTTAGGAAATCAGAATCTTGTGTTTTATGTTAGAGGGACAATGTTTACATTAATAATTCAAGGAAAATATTTCATCAATAGCGCGATGCTACGATACGCTAACACTTACAGGACTTTTTCATTATTGCTTGTTTTCTTTTTCGGAGATATCTAACACGTACATTTATGATTATATATATACATACATACATATAATATATTATATATATATATATATATATATATATATATATATATATATATATATATATATATATATATATATATATATATATATATATATATATATATATATATATATATTATATACATATATTCATATATACACTATACATATTTATATGTATGTATGTATGTCTATGTATGTATAAATAAATAAACTATATATATATATATATATATATATATATATTTATTATACACACACACACACACACACACACACACACACACACACACACACACACACACACACACACACACACACATATATATATATATATATATATATATATAATATATATATATATATGTATATACATATATATATTTGTATATATAACACATGTATATATGTGTGTGCGTACACACATATATATATATATATATATATATATATATATATATATATATATATATATATATATATATATATATATATATATATATATATATATATATATATATATAATATATATATATATATATTTAATGTATATACACATATATATGTGTGTGCGTATATATATATATATATATATATATATATATATATATATATATATATATATATATATATATATATATATATATATATATATATTATATACACACACAGTGTATATGGCTTGGCTTTAAGAAATGGCTAATCATGCCGCTTTTTTTCCCTGACTAACTGCTGTGAAAATGAATCCGGAAAAGCTTTGTGTTGATGGTTTCATAAGCGGAGGCAAGTCAGTCCTCTGCACTTATTGAGGCTGGACTTGAGACGACCGACTTGCCTTCAGATTAAGAAAATTGACGTGTATAGTTAGGGTAAATATTCAATTCCAGTTTCTTGTCACTCCCCTCTACGTTGCTGCAAATATCTGTTTATGAAAAAGAAAAGAAAATAGATTCGAACAGAAAAAAAGACGTATGATACCTTTATGACGACACAATAAGCAGCAGTTAATGGTATCTGATTCTATTGTGACTCTGTGAGACGATGTGCAATTGTTTCTTGGTTCTTTGAATAAAATAAAGAGATTTTTCAGTTGTTTTCTTCTCGCCTGAATCGTGTACAGAGTGTGAATTTATTTCTTGTCATCTTAAAAGCTTAAAAGATGATAAACATAACTCCCCCCTCCTGCATGCATATCTATATCTATATCTATATCTATATCTATATATATTTATATATATTTGTATATATATATATATATATATATACATATATATATATATATTATATATATATATATATATACCATATATATGTATATATGTATAC